TTGCAGTATAAACGACCGGTGGGTCTGTGGGTGTTAAATAAACACAGATGCGCCTGAGCAAGCGTCTGCCATAGAGATTGGCTAGCCATCCAATAGACGGGTATCCCCGAATACGAGTGGCCAGCTATATATATATATATATATATTTTTTTTTTCAAGGTAGATGTAAAGACTTTTTTTTTAAATTTAAGAACACTCAAAAATATTCTCAGGTCTAACTGAGAAAGTCAAGGTAAACTATGGAGGAAGCTAAAAGATATAATTAAATAGCTAATAAACGAAAGTGAGTAAATTGTTAATACCGCTGTTGAATTATATACTCCGTTGAATTATATACTCCGTTTCACTCTCTATCTCTCTCTCTCTCTCTCTCTCTCTCTCTCTATATATATATATATATATATATATATATATATATATATATATATATATATGTGTGTGTGTAGATAGATTTAGATTGATAGATCGATAGATAGATAAAGAAAAGAAGAGTGAAACCTTTGTAAGGTTCGGGTTCTGGTCGCCTTGAATCAAACCAAAATAACAGCTCAATGATTTAAGAATTTGTTTCGACTTCCTAGGCTGTGAAATCTCGCTGTATTGATTGGCTATCGATTTCTGGCGCTATCCTCATCCTCATCCATTCACCGTAACAATCAGTGGAAATCTCATCTGTCTGTTGGTAGCTCCATTGCCGCAAGTTGGTGATAACATCTTGGCAAAGTCTACTCTCCAAAACCTCGCACTGCACTCAAATTGGCACCGTGGAAGATTTTTCTGGAAGTCAGGCTTTCATTATCAAATGCTGGGTTGGGAAATTCGTTACAACCCACACACAAATGGATTTTTTATTTTATGTAATTGTCACTGGAGATGAATTAAGATTTTTTTCCTATAGCTTCGGCATTATTTCAACGAAAGAGCTTCTATTAAGTAAAACATATTTATCATGTTAAAATAGAAGAAAATTGATTCTTAATCTCTCAAGATGTTGAGCGCCACATCCCTTCTGTGAATTGCCACGCCTTCTTTGGGAAAATAATACAATGGCTTCACATTTTCTTCTACTCAGTTTGGAATACATAGGTTTCCTTCTCTTAGATTAGTTGCTTCCCAAGGCTTGTGAGCCTAGTGTACTCTGCTATTTAATCCATAATTGGGGGTGAGGAAGAAGAAATGGAGTAAGGAGTTTCCAAGTGAATTTGTGCGAAAGTGAATGCAACAGAATAATTAGGAATTTTCACTTGGTTCGACGATTACACTTTTCACGCATATATTGATAATGGCTTATGTAAGCCAAAAGCTTAACTTGGATTTAAACATATATCAATATGGTGATTTCCTTTCATCTTTCAATGACAATGTTATTAAGCTTATCACACAATATGAACTTAAAATTTAATGAAACGTGCATCAATATATATATATATATATATATATATATATATATATATATATATATATATATATGGTTACATCTAGCAATTTCAACTGTACATTAATGAGACCTTACCGCCAATCTAGTACTGCGCTTACATTCGTAAATTCGAGGTAGCAAAGTGAAGAGCTCAACAGAACAATTACCATGAAAATATTTATCGATATCGTTACAGATTTTTCTTTTGATTTTATCAAGAATATCTAAGTATATATTAGATGAACCAAACTGGTTGCCACCCAAGGCTATTTCCCCATATCTGGGGGATGGAGAACAGGATTCATAATTTTTTCAAGGGTATTAGTACGTCAGTGAATGTAATGGATTCAACTGTAATTCGAACTCTGCTCTCCGATTCTTCAATCCGAGCCGCTATCCATTACTTCACCGTGCCTCCATGGCGAGCCCTAGAAGTAAAGTTCTTGGCTGCTTCATTTGCCTTGAAGATAGCGATAGAGTAGGATGAAGCTAGCAATGTTTCGACTGAAGGAAAGCGGTTGCAGATTGGAAAACAGACCATCTTTGATGAAATTGTCCAACGTTCCCTGCTATATAGGAGGATTGATATTACATCTTTTGTTTCTAACGAAATAGGAAAAAAACATTATCTTAAGTTAATCTCGCAAACGCGTGAGTAAAGTAGAGATGACAAAAAAAAAAAAAAAAAATTAAGAGTACGTGACGCAAAAAAAGAGACGTTTTCAACTTCGCTCACGCTGACTGAAGAAATCAATAAACAAGCATAGAGAAGAGGCCAATGAAATAATCAGTGACGCTTTTCCAGATTTGGAATCCATCCAACAGCAAGTAGTAAAAAGAAAATTTTCTAAAAAGAAAAAAAGGAAAAGAAAAAGACAAAGAAAGAAAGAAATTCCCAATGAGAAAAACGATCTGATATTTCAAAAACTGAGAAAAGTGTTATTTTACCTTTCGACAATAAACTTTCACCACAAGAAGAAAACAAGCAGATTTGTAGTACTGAACGGGATATTTACTGCAGTCCATTGTAATTCCCCAAGTCAAAATATGTAACTGGTAACATCACCAATCTATTATGATCAG